TGGTTGTGGTCGATATTCAGGTATTTCATAGGTATGAGCATTAGGGCTTGATGGGTATTTCCCTATTTATTGATATGTGTGGATCGGGTGGCATGCCGCCACGAGTATGTTGTTTGGATCGGGTTGCATGCCACAATAATGTCATATTTGGATCGGGTTGTATGTCGCAACAGTGTCATGTTTGGATCAGGTTGCACGCCACAACGGTGTCATGTTTGGATCGGGTTGCATGCCGCAATGGTGTCATGTGTGGATCGGGTTGCACGCCGCAACAATGAGATGTTGAGTATGGTTTCTTATACTTATTTTGTGTGCCTTTTTTCTCATCTCTAAGATAGGTTCATAGCATCTGTTTGGCCATTTTATTCGTTACGCGAGATGGATGGTTCTTTTCCAGAATTTGTTCTTCGTTATGGGTCACATTCGAGTTTGTAGCTTGTTGGCGCATTGATGGCGTCATATGAGATTTTTGGCAGTGTTTAAGGTGGCTTATTTCCCGAGAAGCTTGTACTGCATGAGACGAGGTTATCGGACCTGAAATCAGTGTAATCAAATTTATATAGGGTATATTAGAGGAAAAATGTCACTATTCAGTTCAAAATAGGCAAAAGTTCTTGTTGAGCGGAGGACTCCATGATTTATTGATTTGATAGGTGGTTATGAGCTTCTATGCGTCGTTTTCATTATTGCATTATCGCGAGGGTTGGATCAGGGCTTATGCACATATGAGGTATACTACGGGCATCATGTTAGTGAATTTGTAGCTTCTACGGTTGGAGGATGTTATTATGGGCATACGAATTATGCGGTGCATTGTGTGATTTCAGCATGGGTGTATGATCATATTTGGTACAGCGGGTTAAGATTGATATGGTGTTCGTATGTTAGAATGAGGTCTCGTAAAGAATTTCGAATGTTGGAATTTGGTTCTAAGGCTTGTGGGCTAAGGTAGTAGGAAGGATCTTCAATCTGGCTCGAGCTAATATATTCACATGGGTTGTGGTGGCATGGGTAGGCGCACGAGGTGTTAAATAGTGGTTTTGGGAAATTCCGGAGGGGTTCTTGGCACATTCGAGGACGAACGTATGTTTAAATAGGGGAGAATGTAATGACCCAACAGGTGTTTTGAGCTCTAGCACTTCGTTCGGCGGTTTGAGGCCTTGAGTAGCTTCACTTCATGTTTTATGCCTTGTAAGCATAGTCGGAATCGAATTCCGGGAAGTTCAGAGTTGATACGGATGAAAAATTCTCAATTCGGAAGCTTTAAGTTGGAAGAGTTTACCAAACGATCTCGAAATCGGGATTTGACGGTTCCAATTAGTTCATATGATGATTTCGGACTTGTGCGTATGTTCGGGTTGAGTATCGGGTGGTTTGGAAGCATTTCGGTGCTTATTGTGGAAAGTAGGCATTTTGAAAGTTTTAGAATATCCTAAGATTAATTTGAAGTGAAATTTGATTTTATTGATGTCCGTTTGGGATTCCGAGCCTTGGAATAGGTTCGTATCGTGATTTGTGACTTGCACGTAAAGTTTGGCGTCATTCCAGAATGTTTAAGTGTAATTCGGACGCGTTCGGTGAAGTTTGAAAGTTTGAAAGTTTGAAAGTTGAAATAATGGTTTTGATCACCGATTCATAGTTTGTATGTTGTTTGGTGTGATTTGAGGCCTCGAGCAGGTTTGCATCATGTTTTGAGAATGGTTGGTATGATTAGACGGGGTCCTGGCGGCCTCGATTGTGTTTCAGATGGGCTACGGGTCATTTCGCCATGTTTGAGCCGTTGTTTCTGAGATCTGGTGCATCCTTCTTTACGATCGCGAAGAAAGGGCCGCGATTCCAAAGAGCAAAGTGTTGTTCCAGGCCTTGTGAATCGCGATCGCGGAAGAAAATTCGTGATCGCGTAGAAGGAATTTCTATTATCAGTGGTCTGAAGTTTGGAGCTTATATCTTGCAATCTATAAGGAATTTAGGATGATCCAAAAAACGAAGTTGTAGTCCTTTGAATCTAGTTTTCAGAAACTCAAACCGTTTATCATTCGGAATTTTGTACAAAAAGTTATGGCTATTATACCGAAGAGTGTCTGTGAAGAGGAAACAAAATTTGTGCATCGCGATCGCGAGGTTTTGGCCGAGATCGCGATGAAGGAAACAATGTTGGAACTTTTGTTAATTTGATCGCATGGATAATGACCGTGATCGCGAAGAAGGAGGCCTAGCAGGTGTATTAAATATCTAATTTCGGGATTTTGAGCTCATTTCATCAATTTTAAGTTCTTGGAGCTCATGTGGGGCGATTTGGGGTGATTCTTGAAGATCGTTTTCTCCATTTATCATAAGGTAAGTTATTCCTAGTTGTTTCGAGTTAAATACATGGGTTATATATGGATTTTAGCATTGAAATTTGATAGAAATTATGGAATTTTTGGAAGAAAACCTAGAAATGGTATTTTTAGATTTTGACCACGAAATTGGATATGGAATTAGGAATAAATTATATATTTGACTTCGTGGTATTTTGGGTAATGTTTATCTTCAAAAATTTCAATTATGAGTATGGGAGTATATTTTTATTGGTTTGCACATTGTTTGACTAGTTTCGGATCGATGTGCATTGGTTTGAGGTGTTAGAGAGGCGTTGAAACCGGTTATGGAACTTTGTTGCGAGGTAAGTCTCATGTCTAACTTTGTGAGGGGGAATCTGCCCCGTAGGTATTAAAATTATTATGTGCTACTAGTTGTGGGTGCTACGTACGCACAAAGTGATGAAAGTCCGTACGTAGCTAAAAGCATATTTATGTCCGGGTAGACATATGACTTTATCATGTAATATTTGAATTAATTGAACTCATTTTGCTATATTAATTAAGTGAATTTATAATTGAACTTTATTTCGGAATATATTAGGCCGAGCTTTATCACCTTGAGTTGTTTGGCGATATTTGATAAACGGTAAAAGTCATGTTTACTTTTGCTCCTGAACCTGTGTTGTAAGCACGTGACTTGTAATTCGATAAGTTTCTTCCTTTCCTGTGGATCGGGCCAAACGTCTCGGCAGTATATTGAGATGCATCTCTAGTTCGCGCCGGTCGACCCTATACAGTGTACATGCCACTCTAGATCGGGTCGTACAACCTCGGCATAGTCGTGCGTTATACTGCTATCAGTGTGGATATTCACGAGATCACCCTTCTATTGAGGCCTGGCATTTTATATGGTATTCCTCATCCGTTTGAGATTGCACTTGATATTTCAGATCTATTGAGATGGCACATGAGATTTGTGAGATTTATTTCGTTAAAAGAAATTTTTGGAGGATTATGTTAGTTACAGTTTTTATTGCACTACTACTGTTGTGCTTCATATCTGTTATGAGTTATCATATTTATTTATTGGACCACTAGTAAGTGTCGATGTCGATCCCTCGTCACTACTTCTCTGGGGTTAGGCTAGATACTTACTGGGTATGCGCTGATTTACGTACTCATGCTACACTTCTGCACTAAATGTGCAGCATCTGACAGGTTTATTTGGTGGCCATCTTGGCGCGTAGACGCAACTGCTGAGGGGACTTTATGGTGAGCTTCTTTCTATGCTACGCACCGCAGCCCACCGAACCTACATCTTATTTATTTACTTTATCCTGTCTATTTTATATTCCAGACAGATGTTGTATTATTATTGCACTCTTTTGTAGACGCTCATGCACTTGTGGCACCGGGTTTTGGGATGTTCTAGAAGTTGTTTGTGGTTTTGCTTAGCATTTACACACTTTTATTATCTATTCTACTTAAATTTTAAGTTTCCATGATTTTAATGCGTTGATTTCCTTATCGAATAAAATTCACGATTTCAAAATTAATAAAATGCATAATTAAGTTGGTAGTTCACCGTTGGCTTTCCTACATGCGACGTTGGGCGCCATCACGACCTATAATGCGTTTTGGGTCATGACATGTACTTTTTTAGAGTGCACCATCTGGGTGTCTCACAAGGAGAACTGTTATCATATTTGCAATATCCTTCAGAAATGTCAGCTAACGCTAACAATCCATCAACCATTTTGGGTTACTCTAACCCCAGCAGGATCCTGATATCCCATCATTCTTTTAAACAATATATGTTAGCTACCATAGGGCATAACTGAGATGGGGGTTGTCAAGTCTAAATATCTCTATTACTGTTGAAGGTAACTCGGAATACTTATATGTCTCTTCCTGAATTGTAACTCATAATCTTTACTAACTGGGTACCTCGTACCATTCTTCATTTTGCTTCTTTTATTTGTTGAAACTTGTATCTACCTTCCGATTCTCTCCTTGCTTTTTTTTCCTTATGGGTGGATAGATATTCAAGCCTTAGGGATCCTTATCAAGAAGCTCACACATCTTAGTACACACATGATCTGCTGAAGACCTAACATTTACTCATCATAAACATGATGCAAAATCGAGTTCCTCTTACTCAAATCTTCCACAGCCACCTCCGTCTACAAGGTAAACATCATAGCTTAGACATTAGCGTGTTCGCCACCACACTGGCTGGAGCCACATTCAATCTCTCACCAAATGTCTTTTTGGATGTAGGTATCGTTGTATTACGACTAAAATAGAATTTAGGAGTCTGAATTATTACAACTGAGCTCTACCACACGATCTAAAGTAAGAAGAAAGAAAGATAGTCCTACATGCCCTGTAGCCTCCTGCTTATAAGTGTGGTACACAACACACCCATAAATAAGATTCTACCAGACACGGCTTGTAGACTCCCTAGGATAGAACAACTCTGATACCACTTTCGTCATGACACAAACTGAAGGGCCGTGACGGGCACCCATTACCTAACTCAACCGAGTACCAACGTAATGTATCCTTCTTATCATACTATCATGGGTAAATGAACCGGAAAGGCCGTCATGAGATAACCAGAACTAAACATAAGAGAATACTCGACATAGGACGACCAAACATTGTATACTAACTTATACATGTGACACATAGGTCTATAAGACCGAAATGATCATTTATACACTCAAATCATAGGCTGACGAGGCCATACAATCATCCATATATATGACATATGTCTACAAGGCTCTAAAAGTACATAAACATCATAAAGGCCAGGACAGGGCCCCGCCATACCAGTCAATATATGTCCTAAGCATACTGATCAAATAGGCAACTCCGGAGCAAGTGGAGTGCACCAACACCTTCCATTGAGCTAATAGCCTACAAGGAGGACTACCAATATATCTATCGGGACCTGCAGCCATGAAACGCAACATCCCCAAGAAAAAGGACGTCTGTACGAATAAAGTACCGAGTAAGTAAGATAAGAAAGCATAGATAAGAATAGTAATGTAAAGAGAGATAGAGATAACATATGAGTGCCTCTGAGGGCGACTGGCATGAAATGCATGATACATATATATACATATAACTTTAATGACATACGCCTTTGTGGGCATCGTCATCATCATATCGTACCCGGCCTCGAAGAGGACTCAGTAAAAATGTACCGACCATCATAAGGCTCGGTAGAATCATTCCTGGTCACGTGGAGCTCGGTAAACCCAAATGATCAGTGGTTGCACAATAGGTGTCGTACCCGACTGACTATAGCGCAACTCCATAGAGTAAAATAGATACATATATATAATGCATGCTGGACTCATTGAATCACAATTTCAACCTTCCAAAGTGACGTAAGGTCGTTGCCCCTTCGATTAACATTATGGACATCATACCATCAATATGAACTTCAATAGGATTCACGGATCACACATACTTTCTTAGAATAACTTTATAAGGAAAGAAAAACATGGACAGCCTTAGTTGCTAGGAGTAGATCCGTTATAAAATAGCATATCATCTACGTTAATTTCACTTTAGATCATATCAAAAGAAAGAAGAAACTGTCTTAATATACCTTATCACAATCTGTCCAATAACCACGTTGAACTCCTCTTGTCACACTTCAATCTACATGAACGATAATAATGATATCGTTAAGCTACGAAAGATGCAACTATCGTATAACGAACGACAAGCTTATTTTATATTAAAACGGGCAGCATCTCCCATGTTTTCCTTGCTTTCCCAAGTCCATCAACCAACACGAACCCATAAAACCTTCACCTATATACTTTCAGCACCACAACACAAATCAAGCTACAAAACAACAAGTGCATAAATATCACCAATGAAACTACTATTTAACACGACAAACGGCAAGCTCGAATTGAATCCATTTTTAAACCTTTAACCCCAAAGACATTTATTCATTAACTTAACAACATAGCCATAATGATATTAAGTACAATGGGAGGACTTCAAACCTCCTATTCATCTCCCAATTCACCCTCAAACAGCCCAACAATCTAACAACAACAACAAGTACAACTTTTCATTGTTATATTGTCCTTTCCCTTCATATTCATTCACAATACCAACAACAAGTTCGACATGTAGATAATATTAATAACAACATCATAAGAAAGTCATTTTCAAAGGTTTCCAACCATTTAAAGTTCATGGAAACAACCTTTCCAAAACAGTCCATTAAAATCAATAACATCTCAAACTATTTCAAGTCTCCTTTTGTAGTACTTTGCTCAAATAATGCAACCAACGCACAAACAACTTCAAGAAAATATAGTAGGATGTTATACTCACCTTAACCAGTAGAAACAAAATGAAATTTCAGCTAAGTACAGCCCACAACTATCCTCAATGACACCACAACATTGTAGGTATTGTATTCTCTTCTTGAATCAACATTTGGTGTTCAAGTTGGCGTGTAAACACTTGTAGTTCACCTTAAAAATCTAATATATATGAAGGAGAGACTGATTATTACCTTAATCAACAAGAACAACACGAAACCTGAGGTTACTTCACTTTGAAGAATCCTCCAAAACAGCCACAAGATGAAGAACTACGATCTAGCAAGCACCACCGGATTTCTAGCGTTGGATTCATGTTTTTATCTTAAGTTTTCACCCTAGAATCATGGAGGAACACTTGGAGAGTATTAAGGAGGGTTTAGGAATTGTTTTGGACGAGGAAAATGAGTTAAAACGATTTAGTATTGACTTAAATACAAGCTGGAGTTTTACACTGACTTTGTGGGTCCAATGAGAGTTGCTTGCATAATCTCGCAAAAATACGGATATCTCTTCTTCGATATTGTATCGAGGAACAGTTAAAGCCATTCGAAACTAGAGTCGTAGATCTTCAACTTGGTAGGTAGATCATCCCGTAATTTCAAGTATATTTATAGAAAAACGCAGCTACATTTGACCTAATTTTCAGCACATTTATGAATGTAACTTGTGATGACCTTTGCCAACTTTTGTTCCATAACTCTCTTGATTTCGAAACATTATACACGACTATCATACGACTAGAATAACTCATAACATAAACTCCTTATAATGTTAAGCACCCTAGTCTCACTCCAAAAGTACATGTTATAACATTCCAACTTGTCGACTTTCGACGAAATTTATTTTCTTCAATTCGCTTAACTTCTAAGCCTTCTGACCCTCTTGGTACTTGGTATTCATGATCTTAAGTATTTATAACCTCCACGGTAACATGATTAACTTACTTTATAAACTTTTTAAAGATGATTTCATTTCTGAGAATACATCAATTGACTTACGACATACTCTTACGAAAATATGGGGTGTAACAAGTGTTATAAAAGAAGTGCTCTGAATATGTTAATATAGATTTATTATAGATTTCGTCTTCTTGTTCATCCTTGTGTGTCTATTAAAGAAGTGCTCCAAAAACATTCAAAACCGTAAACACAACAAACATTTAATAAATTAGTTTTTATTAACACCTCAATATAAATATTGAATACAAGGTAAACAACCTTCAAAAAAAATTAAGGGAAGATAGAAACTCCCTTATAAAAGGAAAAATAACAATGAACCAATATGAAAGGTATAAAATATTATTCTGCTCTAATTTGTTAGAGGATAACAGAGCAAACAAGAGAAGTGGAACAATTCACAATTGTTAACCATCTGTTTCAGATCTTGTCCTGCAACATAACACATACATATACTAATAAAATATTCGTAAATCTTAAACACATCGAATTTTCAAATAATATACCTACAACAAAAATTAGCAGAGTACATAGTACTAACTGCTAGTGGGTTCCTAAATATGTCCCCTTACTGGAGCTTTAATTAATTCTGTATCTTGATGCTAAAATTAGCCGTATAAAATTCAAAATATAGAAAGGAATAAATTGGATCATAGGATTTCTTTAGAGATAGTTTAGGAACAATAATCCATGAATAGCTTCAATTACTAACTCATATAGGAAAGACAACAGTCAAAAGTTACCCTATGAATTCTCTCAATTATTTTGAGTGTTTCTTCCAAGAAATGTAAGGACATGTTGCTTAAATAAGCAGCTGCAGACATTCTCTTTTGCTTAAAAGATGCGAGCTTTGAAATGGATCAAATTAAGAATTTTATCAGTCTCCTATTACTTTCTAAAGCAACAAAGAACAATGTCACTTCTAAATTAATTTCTATAGTGATACTGGATACCACAGAGTTACAGTTCTCTCCAACCTAACTCCAACTACAATTCTCATCTACAAACTCGCCCAAATCTATAAAAGTAGGAGGTACTTACTCCACTTCTCTCAGAACACCACCTTTCTTTTTGAGATAAAGCTAAGAATAATCTAACGGAGTTCATGAATTTACCGAAATTCGGTCTTTTAAATTTTTCTTTAATTCCTTATTTGATTCTTTATAGTAAGAATTAATCAATTAATCGTCATCATGAGTAAATGTAGAAATTTCTTTATTGACATCAAATAAGGACCTCCAGAATCATGAAAATACATTCTCATTATTCATCAATGTCTCCTAATTTGCTAGGTGAGAAAGAGAAGGTTTAGGATCCAGTTTTCTAAAAACAGTCTCAGGAAGACCAGGGAAAAAACCGAATCAGAGGAAAGCACGCACATTCATAAATATTAGTTCTTACTTGAAATAAATATTCAAAGCAGTATCTCAATTTCACTTGAAGTTCAAATAGTGAAACCATGCCTGGTCGATATGTATAAGAAAAATGAATGAGACAGGGCAAAACATAATACTTACCCTGACAAAGCAATCATGCTACTGCATTCTCAATATGGTTGCTACAGTAGATGGAACCAGTGGAATGTGCTCCTTGACATAGTCTTGAAAACAGCTCGTGACATAAAAATAAAGTTACAATAGGGCATGTCTAGAGTCTAGAATTTCAAGGATATATAAAGCGAGTCAACTCAAATAGCCAACTAATATTCATTAACCTCTAAAGTCTCATAAACATCTACTTCTCCTAACAGTTTAGGAAATCTAAAGCCTTAAATTAACTCACTTAAACAACTTTAATAGGAATTTATTTCCACATTATTAGTTGAATAGATAAATATAGTGATTCCTTTAAAAAGTTGGTCCATGTTTTTTAGAATGTCATTAGCCTCTGCAACACTTTAGCAGAAATCTAGCCAATCAAGCTCTTTTTCTAGTCTAAAGATGGGGCGATACACAATTGTACCTGTGAATTAGGATCGATGTTCACACAAATATGTATGGTTTATTTCCATAAGCTGCACATGAAAGACAGGGAGAAGTGGAGCAATAAGTTAAAGAAAGGAACAAGGCAAAATTTAGGGAATAGAAAATGACAGACATGTACACTCCCTATTAACCATGGAATCATGTCCAGTCCTTTCCCCTTATTAGTTGATAACCTTTTCCATTATTAGTTGATAACTATGAAAATTCATAATGATAAATAAAGTTCTCCAGGAATATCCTGCAACCCTAAATTGGACTATCTCGGGTTGATTAGTTTGAGTAAATATCTTGAATTAGTCTGAATAAAGGAAACCCTTTGGAACAAAGCTTCATAATTTCAAAACTGCAATGAATTATTCCCCAAAAAGCAGTCTAAGTATTTAGAAAAACAAAGACAAAATTGAATGATAACCCTACATTGGTCAAATACATTAACAAAACATTTGCAAGAACGTCAGATTAACCAAAATTAAATCAAGACTCCAGATTTTGCAGATTCAAAAAAAAAAAAAAAAAAAAAAAAAAAAAAGAGTCCAGATTTTTTCTTATTTAAGCAAAATTCCTTAAAATAGTAGATGTTAACTTAATTAAATAAAGGAAAGAGAGCAAACACGCTGATATTACATAGACAAGGAAACACCCAAAAATTTATGAATATAAATTAATGCAAGAATAGAATTGAAGATTCCTATTAAGCACCAGTTAACATACCAATCTAAACTACCGTAAGCCGCACAGGAGCTAAGCAACAATTGTGAGGAAACATTTCCCGGCTATGCTAGCATTCAAGGTTTATTTGGAGCGTTCAATATTCAACAACATTCAATTATAATATGAGCAAAAAATGACAAAACACTCACATGCGGTAACTTTGAATGGTCATATCGTAGTCCTGAGTCTCCTGACATATATAATGTTCAAGAAATATCAAACGGTAAGAAGAAGTGAAAAATGATATGCAAACAACCGATAAGATATTTTTTCAAATCAATGAGAAAAATACCTTTAAACTAAATTATCAACACAGAAAAAGAAAGAAGACTCTATGTAGAATTACTCGTTCTAACCATCTCGACAAAGAAACCCATCAAATTTTGGAAAGAAAAAAGACTTGATAAGAAAAAGGAAAAAAAATCTTAAATGAAAGAGAGCTCACCAAGAAACACTGAAGAAGGACTAATTTGCAACAATGGAGGAGGACCTATTTATAGGAATAGAATTTTGCAGAGAGAATATGATAACAGAGAAGATAATAAAGTGAGGGAAAGTAGAAGGAAGATATGTTTGAAGAAAGAAAGAGAAGTGTTTGGGTGTATAAGTGAAAATGGAGGTGGAAACCAGTTGTTAGCCACACCGATTATTAAACAGTAACATGTGTATAAAGATAAGAAAGAATGGTATCGTACCTTAGCAGTAGTATCGTTTTAAGTGGGTCACGTTCCAGGTATTTGGAAGTTGCTCATCATTCCCTGCTTCGAGCTTGTATGAACCTTTACCGGTAATCTTGATAATTTAATATGGACCTTCCCAGTTCGGCCCCACCTTCCCTTTGTTTGGGTTTCGAGTATTCAATGCCACCTTTCTTAATACCAAGTCCTCGATATTGAAGTGTCGAAGGTTAGCTCTCCGGTTGTAATACTTTTCGATCCGTTGTTTTTGGGTGGCCAACCGGACAAGGGCAGCCTCGCGCCTCTCATCCAATAGTTCCAGTCTCATGTTCATGGCCTCACCGTTTGACTCTTCAGTCGCATATCGGAACTTGAAACTTGATTCTCCTAGCGTCGTAGACCAACGAGAATGGGGTGGCCCCGCTACTAGATTTTGAGGTCGTACGGTACGCCCACGGGACTTCGGACAAAATTTTCTTCCATTTTCCTTTGGCGTCGATCAGTCTCCTCTTAAGGTTTTGGAGTATGGTCTTGTTTGTAGGGAGTTGATAGGATCCTCTTGACCTTATGGTCCTCAAAATATTTGCTCACCTTACTGTCGATGAACTATTTTTCGTTGTCAAATACGATCTCGGCCGGCATTCCGAACCGACATATTATGTGGTCCCAAATAAAATTAATAACTTCTTTCTCTCTGACTTTCTCAAATGCCCAAGCTTCAACCCAATTAGAAAAATAGTCAGTCATAAATAATATAAATTGAGCCTTACAGGATGCCCATGGCAGCGGACCGACGATGTCTATTAACCATTTCATGAATGGCCAAGGTGACAAGACCGAATGCAGCAGCTCCTCGGGCTGGTGGATCATCGGTGCGTGCCTATGACAGCCGTCGCGTCTCGGTACGAACTCCTTAGCATGTTTCTCCATATCGATCCAGTAATAGTCGGCTCTGATTATTTTACGGACTACCGATGCGGACTCTGAGTGGTTTCCGCAGGTGCCTTCGTGAACTTCACTCAAAACGTATTTGGTGTCTCCCGGCCCCAGACTTACGGCAAGTGGGCCATCGAATGTTCTTCTGAATAGGGTGTTATCTTCGGACAGGCTGAACCTGGCCGCCTTCGTATGTAGAGCTCTTGATTCTTTAGGATCCGAGGGTAGCTTCCCGATCTTTAGGTAATCTATATACTTGTTTATCCAGTACCAAGTTAAGCTTGTCGAGTTTATCTCGGTGTGGGCTTCTTCCACTATCGATTTCATGAGTTGTACGACCGTTTCTGAGTTGAACTCATCCTCATCAACAGATGACCCCAAGTTGGCTAGAGCATCGGCTTCGCTGTTTAGATCCCGTGGTACGTGTTGCAAGGTCCACTCCTTGAATCGATGTAGAGTTACCTGTAGTTTATCCAGGTATCTCCGCAATTGTTCCTCTTTTACTTCAAACGTCCCATTGACTTGATTCACCACAAGGAGGGAATCACATTTAGCTTCGATCACTTCGGCCCCCAGGCTTTTAGCCAATCCGAGACTTGCAATCATGGCCTCATACTCGGCCTCATTGTTCGTCAATTTCACAGTTATAAAGATTATCTAACTACGTTACTGTAACGACTCGGCCGGTCATTTTTAGAGTTATAGCCCCGATCCCCTATTAACTGCTTCTCCCATATCTATTTCTGCTATTGTGACTTGCTTGGAGATTTTGTTTTGGTTTTTGGAGTGATTTGGGACACTTAGTCCCTAAACAAAAGCCTAAGTCTTAAGATTTTGACCGTAGTCAGAACTGTATAAAGACGACTCCGGAATGGAGTTTTGTCGGTTCCGTTAGCTCCGTTGTGTGATTTTGGACTTAGGAGCGTGTCCGGATTGTGTTTTGGAGGTCCATAGCTTATTTAGGCTTGTAATGGGGAAAGTCGAATTATTAGAGTTTTGGACCGGTAGTGAAACTTTTTATATCGGGGTCGGATTTCAATTCTGGAAGTTGGAGTAGGTCCGTAGTGTTGATTATGAGTTGTGTGAAAAATTTGGGGTCAATCGGATGTGGTTTAGTTAGCTTCGGCATCGGTTGTCGAATATGGAATTTTCAAATTTCTTTAAGTTTGATTTGGAGGGTGATTCATGATTTTAGCATTATTTAATGCGATTTGAGGGCTCGACTAAGTTTGTATGGTATTTTAGGATTGGTTGGTATGTTTGGTTAAGGTCCCGGGGGTCTCGGGTGTGTTTCAGATGCTTAACGGATGAATTTTGGACTTAGGGAAGTTGGTGAGTTTTGTATGGTTCTGCTGTTTCGCACCTGCGGAGGGGAGACCGCAGGTGCGGACTCGCACGTGCGGAGGAACAGGCGCAGATGCGGATTTCGGAAGCTTGACCAGGGGTTGTATATGCGAGGAATTTACGCATTTGCGATACCCGCAGATGCTCCCAAGGATTCGCAGGAGCGGAGGAAGACCACAGAAGCGGACAGTGTTCCGCAGGCGCACACGGGCAGGTGCGGCCCCCATTGCCGCAGGTGCGGACCCATCCCTCTTAAGTGATTTCTGCACCTGCGGGAGATTTTCTGCAGATGCGGCATCGCAGGTGCGTCCCATGGCCCGCACGTGCGAAGATCGCTGGGCAAAAAGGGGCAGAATCTAGGGTTGAGGTTCATATTCAAAAAATTGATTTTTGAGCTCGAGAGAAGGCGATTTCTTGAGTGATTTTCAGAGAAAGCTTTGGGGTAACGATTCCTAACTTGTTTTTGGTTGTATTTAGTTAATCTATTGTTATTTTCTTCATTTAATTACGGAATTTGAGTGAGAAAGTTGGGAAAATGGGGAAAAAGTTCCCCAACCAAATTTCTGAGTTTTAGTGGGATTTAGACATCGGATTTGGATAATTTTGGTACGAGTGATCTCGTGAGTGATCGGGTATTCATATTTGCTAACTTTTACCCGATTCTGAGACATGGGCCCGGGGAGACTTTTTGGGCTTTTTTTTAATTTCTTGCCTTAGCTTTGATTTCGTTAGCTATATTTATGTTATGTAATTGGTTTTGGCTAGATTTGAGTCATTCGGAGTCGGATATTCGTGGAAAGAGCATTGTGACGGATTGATTTGAGCTTGGTTTGAGGTAAGTGGCTTGCCTAACCTTGCGTGGGGGAACTCTCCTTAGGATTTGGTACTGTTTAATATGTGAGCATCGTGTACATGAGGTGACGAGTACGTACACGGGCTATTTGTTGTAAAACTCCATTTTTCACTAAGTCATAACTTGTTTTCTCCTTATTTGAAACACACTAGCATATGTAACTATCCTGTTTAGACTAGAATAGCATGCCTATTTGTTTAACTGCCTATTTAAACTCTGTGCAGTATGTTTAGTGAAATTACATGCTTTCCTTGACTTGAACTTAGTCTAAACTGTAGGATTTCCTGCTGTAATTGTTATTTTGGTTGGTTGCGCTACATTTTTACTTTGGGACTACGGAACGGTATTCCGGGATATCCCTCTGTACTGCATATTTACTTTGGGACTACGGAACGGTATTCCGGGATATCCCTCTGTACTGCATATTTACTTTGGGACTATGGAACGGTACTCTGCGAGATCCCCCTATTTTGCATATTTATTTTTGGACTACAGAACGGTATTCCGGGAGATCCCCCTGCACATTTACGTTTGGGACTACGAGACGGTATCTAGGGAGATCCCCTGTTATCATCATTGTGTTCTGAGCTATTGTCTTTCATTGATTCTATTCCTGTTAGATTTCCATATTTATTTTACTGCGATATTTCATTCTGTCTTATTTCATTATATTTATACCAGTAGGGCCCTGACCTGATCTCGTCACTACTCAACCGAGGTTAGGCTTGGCACTTACTGGGTACCATTATGGTATACTCACGCCCTTTTCTGCACATATTTTGTGTGTGCAGATCCAAGTTCATCTTACCTGCCTCATCACTAGTTGCAGTCGCTGCTGCTTATTGGAGACTTCAAGGTACATCTACTCAAGCCCGCAGATCCTCAGAGTCCCCCTCTATCCCCCTATGTTCATTTTCCTTCTTTCTGTAGAAATGATGTATAGAATGGTTAAGACTTCTTAGTGGCTTGTGACTTACGGTATTCCGAATTTTGGGAAATTGTTTTGTATATTTTTGGAGCTGTTAATTGTATATGCCGAGTGGCATTCAGTTGCTTATTCGATATTTGTTACTGTTAGTAGTAAATGTTCATGCTTTAGTTTCACTTCCGCAAATGTGTTAGGCTTACCTAGTCGTAGAGACTAGGTGTCGTCACGACGGTTCATAGAGGAAGAAATTGGGTCGTGACAAGTTGGTATCAGAGCTCTAGGTTCATAGGAGTCGTGAGTCACATGCCGGTTTATTAGAGTCTCGCGGATCGGTACGGAGACATCTGTATTTATCTTCGGGAGGCTATGGAACTCTTAGGAACAAACATACTTATTTGATTCCTTGTCGTGCGAGTTATTGGCATCAAATTCTAAAAATTCTCTATTCTATTCTTTCTCGCAGATGGTGAGGACCCGTACCGGAGGATCTGACGACCAGGCACCCGCTCCCCCTGCTAGAGCCACCAAAGGCCAGGGTTGGGGTAGAATACGGCCACGCGGTGTAGCCAGAGCACTCGCGCGAGCTGCGACAGAGGAGTCCCAAGCAGATCCAGCTGGAGGGCAGGCACCGAAGGTTCCTATTGCTGCACCAGCCCTCCAGGAGACTCTAGCCCAGTTCATGAGCATGTTCAGCACCTTAGCTCAGGCTGGATTGATTCCGTTAGCTCCCGCCAGATCTCAAGCCGGGGGAGGCGCACAGACTCCCACAACCCACACTCCTGAGCAGAGGGTCCAGGTTGATCAGGACCTAGAGTTCATTCCCATGCCGCCGGTAGCCCCGGTTCAGCATGAGACTAGGACAACCACTTTTGAGGCAGAGCAGCTCAGACTTGAGAGGTACCAGAAGTATCACCCA